GCTGGGGCCGGCCTGGAGGCCTGGCGCCACCCTTCGGGGCCTGCAAGGACCCAGTTGGAGGGACAGGAAGGTGCTGGGGGATGGTTGGTGGTGGGCTTTCTACTTTGCCTTTTCCTCCTTATGCCGCCTTAGTGAGAGACGGGAGCTCTGGCGGCAGCTCCGGGGTGGGAGACAAGCTCCGGAGTCGGAAGAGCTGGGTTTGCTTCCGGGCCTAGCCACCAGCTGGCCGAGTGACCTTAGGCAAGTCACTCTGTAATCTGCGCCTCAGTTTCCTCTTCTGTCTATCGATGTTTGTGGAATTAAAAGCGCTTTGTAAACTACAAAGTGTCAGTGTACGTAAAGGATTATTATTTTAATTTTTTTTGAGTTGTAAGAAAACAGCAATTGCCCAGTCCATGGGTTTTGAACCTAGGAACCTTGGATTGGAGTTGGAGATTCCCCAAACTCCCTGAAACTGTATGCACAAATTAGTGAGAATGTGTATTTTAGGGGAATGAGGATACATCGCCAACAATTTTTCATAGGGAGATGTCACCCCCAAAGAGTTAAGAACCACAATTTCTTTATGCCATAGGGAGGAAACTGAGGCCTAGATGTCATTTGGGATCCTTCACAACCAATTTGAAGCCCCTGTTTGAATCCCTGGGATATGTGAGCTTTTCTGTGCATAATGGGTATTGGGGTAACAACACTCCACTGCTTGGCTTTTTTTCTGAGTCCTTTCCTTCCCCCACGGGGTGCCTGAAGAGTGGCTAATGCATATGGTACAGTGGCACCCAATATAAAGCAGCTGAAACTAGGAATTGGGTGTGTTTTGTAGTATCAAGAAGCCTACTTAATCTTTGGCCCATTAACTTTGTTGCTGCTTATACTGGTACCTGACTGCCTTTCTTTCATTGACCATTTTTCACGACCATGTTTCACATGTTACTTGCTCCTGTTATATGTTTCTAGTCGATGTGGTTGGTAGTGTGCAGGCTTATTTTTAAAGGGTGCTGCCAAGTCTAGCTAATTAATGGTGCAGGTGGATTTTTTGAAAGCTGGCTAACTGGAACAGACTGTACCAGGCATGGAATTCCTGAAGATGTTGGGGGGTTATCTTTTATTAATTGAAGGTTAACATTTTCTGAGAAGTTGTATTAGAACCTGTGCTGAACCTCAGAATCAGTAGATTTGGAAGTGTTTAAAAGCTTAACTTTTTCCTGGACTGCTTTGTATTCTATTTGCTTGCAAGTGTGTTACTAAGGTGGCCAAAATGCCAGCTTTTTGCTTCTTTGTTAATTGTCAGCTGCTTTTATCTAATTCCAGGCTATTACCCAGCAAACACTATAGAAATGTTTGAACAGTTGGGTTTCAAACATTTTTGTTTTGTGGAGTGGTACAACTCTAAGAAAGCGAACACACACATGTAAGTGTATTTTGTCTGGTTAGATGTTATCCGGTTCTGCTATTGCATACAAATATCTGAAAAAAATCAATTGACTGTTCCCTTTACCTAAAGGGCAGAGACAAATGATCTCACTTCCAGAGAAATAACTTTTTTGGAGAAAAATGTGTTGGTCTTTTGTAATAAAATTTGGATGTACTGCAAAAGAATCTTAAGACTGGTGATAAGATGCTTTTCTCAGCAGAAAGGAGGGACAAAAACAACTGGAACTCAAAGCTTGAACTTCTGTGACAAAACATGAGATGTCCAGGATAGAAGGTTGAAAGGGTTTCACTACAGTGTTCTGCACTAGCTGGAGCAGATGTCTTTCAGTGTAGCTATGGCATGGACTCCAGATTTGCAAGACCACAGGACCTGGAATAGCTTATGAGGATGTGACAGGAACTGTGGAGCTGGATATTTTTATTTTTGAATTTTGAGACTATTCACCTCGCTTTCGGAAGAGAGAAGACGACTAAGCTAGCAATACCACCAGCGCTGTTACTGGGAATTTGAAGACCTGAGTTTCTGCCAGACCCTCAGTGCAAACTCTGGTGACATTGCATCCAAAGTGAACTACGGTACTTGCCATTTTCCAAAATGACTCATTCTTGACCATCTCTGTACTTTTGTTTATACTCTCTTCTCCACCCTGAAATGTCTTCCTCTGGTTCTTCACCTGCCAAAACTCTGCCATTTTCTCAATACCCATCTCACATGCTCTCTTCTCCATGGGTCTCTTAATTTTAGCCAGAAATAATCTTTTTAAAATTTTGTCATATGTCTTTTATCTTTGTATATGATGCCCTGTAAAGTAGTTATTTGCATGCTTTTTTTATTTGCTCTCTTGCAGATAGCAAGCCCCTTGGAAAAAAGGGTCTTGTCTTACGAATCTTTGCCCACACATACTACCACATATGATGAAGCTTTTAATAGAAAAGAGGAATTTAGAGAGCAGGCTATCTCAGAATAAGCATTCAGTAAGTGTTTGCTTAATCATTGTGTGATACCCTGGTTACTCTTGATTAGGGAAAAAAATCACTAGTTATGGGCCATGTTTCTTCCTTTGTTTCATGTTTTTAAACTCTAAATTTAAAAAGATTTCAGGAGCCTTCAATCATAAAGAGAAGCTGATACGTTGCATAGGGTATTAAAGAAGGGTGCATGCACCAGTGCCTTTCTCTCGTTCGAGATGGAATCTTGTCAAAATGAAAGTTAAGGACAGCTTTTTTTCATAAGACAGTTTAAGAAAGGCATTGGAAAAGGTAGAAGGACAGTATCTCCTTTGCTTTGGTGTTGGTATGTAAGCTTAAATTCATTTCTTCTCATGCCTCCCGTGGAGCCCTTCTTTATTTCCCACCAACCACTGCTCAGCAGCCTGAGTACAATCAGATTACTCCCCCAAAGTATGAGACTTAGGGCAGGTCCTGAGATAGTTTGTTCTCAAGAGTCAGAAACAGTCTTTGCCAGAGAACTCTTTGGGTTCTTATCATCACTGACTGTTAATCATAATAAGGCTCCATTTTTCCTTTATCATCTGTCAAGCTTCTCAGTCAGGCTTGTCAAGAACTAGTACCCATCAGGCAGCTGATGTGCTGACAGCAGACCCACCCCAGTGTTAGAGTCCTGTGTTTGTAATTCCATGCATTTGTTATCTTACCTGTTTTGTCCCTGGACCTTCTGACCATCTTCCTTACGCTATTCCCTCAGCCTACAGATTTGGTACCTGGATTTCTGTCCATGGTGATTTCTATCACCTTACTACTGAAGAAGATACCATTCCAGTGGACCACTGTGACCCAAGGGACATTCAACCTTCATGATGTGGCCTTCACCTCTACTCCTCTCCTTTTCTACCCAGATTGAGCACCACCCTTTATGTGAAGTCAAACTCCTCAAGCCAAATAGCTGAAACTATTTAATCACAACAAAGGCCCAGTTTGTTCCATGAGTGTGTATTTTGTTTCTTCAGTTAAAACCTTCAGAGATACATAATAAATTTGGATCAGGGGATTCTTAGTTATCAACGCTGTCTGAAGAATGGTAACATCTTCTTGAGAACGACATTGGACCATGTCCCACAATCTCAGATGTTTGAAGTTTATGAAGTGTTGAGGATCCCATACAGGTTACTGGACACTGTTCTTTTTCCATTTCAAATCTGTAGAATCCTACTGAATGAGAAAGATATTCTGACCCATTGGGATTAAAACAGGCACAGTGAAGTCCATATAGCATCTTTGGGATTACTCAGGAACCAGGACTTTCCACACAAATGTAAGAAATTTTACAAAGGAATCCTTTACCCAGCATTTCACAAAGCTTCAATCAGATTCCAGAAAAGTCCTCTTGAGACATCCAGGTAGAACCTATATGGTAATTCCTTATGTTTATGTTGCACTTTACAGTTTCAAAGCACTTTTACATGCATTAATATTATCAAAATCACACAATGGATTATAATCCCTTTTTGCAAATGAGGAAATGGGATTTGAAAGGTCATCCAAGGTGACACAGCTACCAAATGGTAGAGGCCAGGCTTTCTGACTCCTGGTCCAGTTCTTTCCTTGGAATTTAGCCTCTACTTTACCTGCAGTGTTAAAATGACTGCAGGTTGGGAACCTCAGGAAAGTTTTCCAGCTTCCTGATCTAGTGCTCTCAAATAGGATGTCATAAATGTAATATTGTGATAGCTGTACCTAGACCAGATTCCATAGAAACACCCCTAAGGTTTAGGAGCAGACTGTCTCTATGGTGGTAGATTGTTCAGTCAACAAGACACATGTTCATCTGACAGCATTACCTAGCATGAAACACAAAAGCTATTTTTAGATCTTTTGTCCATCTTTGTGGTCTTCCCAAGGATGGCCTAATTGATTGGGGATCCCTTTTCATATCATGCCCTTGTTTTTTGTTATTACATTTTAGTTTCTTATTTGTGGTTCTTTTATCCCCAAACTAATATTTATACAAAATGACCCATCCGTTTAGAGCAGTACTGTTCACGTATGTGTAATTGTATACACAAATATGTCATAAAGATGGAGCTTCTGTAGTCCAGTAAGGTGATAAAAAAAACTGTAAAATGTGTTCCCTCCCTGATTGATAATGCAGTGTAGTGTATTAAAGGATATCAGAAGGCTTGCAGCAAAAAAAAAATATCATTTCGCTGTTTAGCCTGGTATGTTCTAAGTTTAATCAAGCACAGATAGTTATTTTTGCAGCGTTCTTTTCAGTGGAATGAGGCAGCTGCTTAAGAGTGGCATAGCCAATGCTGCTTGAATGCCCACAGATTGCCCTGGAGACCCAGGAATAAACTGCCTCTTTGACACCCCCCCCTTCTTATCAATAACAGCTTTGAATTAGTATGTTTACATCATCAGAGTCCTTTATCTTGACCATTACCTTGATTTTCTGTCAAAGGAACCTCTAGAAGATTTGTGGGAGTATAGGGGAGGGGGTTAGGGGAAAGTTAACTCATCCAAATTTGGATGGATTCTATGACATTTAGTGCTGTACTTCTCTGTCCCTAGAATTGTGCTATAAACCTAGTTCTTGCATCTCTGGGAAGGGATAAGGAAGCGGGGGGAGGAGAGATTTTCTTAGAATTTCTGAGCTGTGGCGCACTGAGATCTTATAAGTGCTTGAAGAGAAGTCATCCAGCATGGGATTCTGGAGTTAATACTTACAAAGAAATAAATGCATTTTGCAGCTGTATCCTGACTGCAGAAAACTCCAGTGCTATTCTCACTTAAAACCAATAGCCTTGTTCTCTGATAGTCGCCCAATTTCTAGCAGTGGGAATTTATAGCAGACTTGAATGTTAAATTATGTAATTCTGTAATGTGGCCCACTGTAGGGGAAGAATGACTAGGAAAACACCTTGGCTTACCTAAGGCTTTGCTCACACAGTTTCTGGTTTCTGTGACCTATTTTTTGTATTTCAGCATTTTGTGAACAACTTACTCTTAGATCATTGGTTTTCCAAAGGCTTTGTGGCCATGAAGCCCTTTGAACGAAAACTATGTGGAAGGCCAAAGTAAAAGTGAAGCTGCTCTGGATGAAGCAGAGTGGGGGTCCTGAAACCTGCCACAAGCATCTTCCTTTACCACCATGGTGACACCTAAGGAGAGACTTCTGTACAACACCTAGAATTCTTCAGAACACATTTTGAAAAACACTGCCCTAGACAGCAATACGTTCAACCTGAATGGTATTCTGATTGGTACCTCTACCCAACACAGTCCGTGTTCAGTTGGTGTTGAACATTCTTAGGAATACTTACTGTGAGCAAACTCAGAAAAGTGCAAGAACTTTGCCCCCCAAGTAGTTATATGGGCCAAAGGTGGTATCAAATGGACCTAAATTAACAACCCTCTACCCCCACATGGACTTCCAGTGATTCCTTGGTTTGGATATAGACAGAGTAATTCATATGTACTCTACACTGACAACCTCCCTTACTCAACTTCTTTCACAAACAACAGATGCTCTAGTGGTACTTGAAATATGTGAATTTGAAGCCTTGATCCTCTTTGGATACCTGCATTGCCAGGTATTGAAGCTGACGCCTCATGAGGCCATAGTAGACCAACTTGTACATCGAACCTCCCCTCATGAGCCATGGTACTCTACTTAATGTGCAAGGGATAACCGTTAACTAAGCAGAGTTCAAATTCTGGTAACATTAACTAAAAGGGTACCTGGTTTTATCATTCATCTTACTCAAACTACAAGTCACTATGACTCAACCAGTGGCAGTAATACTACTGGTTTTTCTTTAACTGCTGTTTCCAGGATAAATGAGCTAATAACTTTTTAAAAGCTAAAGCAGTTCCCCCATCATTGGCATATCTGCCTGGCATAGTTTGCTCTAAAATTATGAATACTCAGCTCTAACTGCATGTAAGATCTGATCCACAAGAGATCATCTTTGAACATCTTTTCTCATGTATGTGATTTAAAATGTGGCCATTTGGAAAGTTTTCTTCTAGCCAATGAGCAGTTTTAAGAAGGGTCTTTCAATGTTCGGTACCATCAATTGTAGGTATTAGGGATATTTTGAGGTAGGCTTTTTGAATAGACTGTGATAACTTACTTGCTGGGAATCTCAAATTGTGTATCTACTTTTTTTGCTAGAAACGTAGACTGACTTGAAAATCTACAAAGCCTGCAGTTTAGGATTTTGTCAGTAGACTCAAGCTTCCTGCTGTGCTTCCTAATGTCACAAGACCATAGTTCCTTGTCCTTGTGGATATGTTCATGGAATTTTATCTGTCTCGATACTGTTTTAGACTGATTCAGAGTGGCCAGCTTCATTCCTTGCCATGAGATACTCTCAGGCATTGAGACAACTTATCTGTTCAAAGAATTCATTTTATGGACTTCCAAACCAAATCATGAACAAGTAGACTTTGATTTATGTCATGAGAAAAGCTCATTTACTTCACAGTTGACTTAAGGGCCAGCTGTCCTCAACTACTTTAACAAATGCACTGGTTAAATGTTGGGAATAGTTTCTTTATATCTCTTGTCCACTAGACAAATTATGATTATGTGACTTAGTCTGCAGATCATCAAACAAGGCCTACGTCTGTTTACTCTAGACTGCTCACTGTCAACAAATAAAAGTAAGATGACTATCCTGCTTGTATATACAACGATAATTTGTAAAGAAGAAATCTACAGACTCAGTTTTTTTACAGGAAAACATTGATCTACACTGCCAGTCATTCCCTTTAATCCTGTCATACTCGGTCAAAATGAGGGGCTTAAGGTGAGGATCATCTTTCAAGGGTCGAATGAACACTGGGTATAAGAATGGATGGTTGAAAAAGCAAAAAGTCTAAAATTCAAACCTAGGATCTCACCTACTGTCTCCATGCCTCAGATCTCTTCTAAGTCCAGCAGCACCACTCAGCCAGTTTGTGGCCTTGACTTGTTTTTGATTCCCAGAGATGTGCTGAATTATAGAAGATAGAGACTTGATTCCCAAAGAAAGTAGTGCCAGTCTTGATGAACCCTGTCACTTCCAGGTGTAGGCATAGACACCTAAACAGAACCAAGTCTGGATTGAGAATATCGCCGCCTCCTGAGCTGAAAGTTCTTGGGCAAATGAGTAGGAAAATGAAAGCTGCTGTACCTGTCTATTTAAGATCCAAAAATTGTATCCACAGTAAACACTATGGATTAACCCTGGAGTACTCCAGGTAAAAACTAATTTACAGAGCTTCAATATTAAACTACATGTTCTTCCATGTCATACCCTTGTTAGTATGGCTGGCCCTGCTGAAGGTACCCTACTTACCCATTTACCTGACTCAGCCCTTGCCTGCCTTTTTTGAAATGTTGCTGCAATCAGACTTGCTGTCCTCAAGAAGATTACAAATTATCTCAACCTATCTTATACCCATTCCACCAAGAAGTTTTGAACTGAAGCAACTTGCACTTCACTCCACCAGGATGTAATGTTCTCAACAAGAAGGACCATGCTGTATACTCTAACCAGGAGCAGCCTTTTTTTTTTTTTTTTTTTTAAGTGCAGAGTAAGTCTCTAAGCCTATATATATATTTGATCATTTTCTGGGACCCCTTTTACCAGATCTGAAGGAGTACAGCAGATAAAAAAAAAGCACTGTCAATTTCTCTCTTCTGCGGTAATACAGAAGGTGAGTGATTCACCAGTACAGAAATGAGAAATGTTCAATTTGGCAAAAGACTTGAACACAGGAAAAGTTTTCCAGGAACTTAAAATCTACCACTGACTTGAATAGCCTCACAGAACTACTTGCCATTGGGAGACTAGTTGTCTTGCATTATGTCAACTAGATAGTTGGACTCTCAGTCTCTTATTACTTACATTGAAACACTATTGTATCATCCAGACTATGTTACTGGACATGATTATTCCATTCAAATGGATTATAAGCTTCCTGACTACAGGACATGCTCCTCATGGTGTTTTTTCAGAATAATTTTATTATCATGAAAGTAACAGTGCTAGCTCTTACCATGCAACTTTGAGATTAAACTTTTTCAATATCTGGTCTTAATCACTGGTATCAGTAATTTTTATTTGACCAGCATTCATTCCATCTCTTTGTAACAACTCCCTGATGTTTTTTTGGAACCACATCTCCCTATTTTCAGTCCACGTAGTTCAGACCTAATCAATCAGCATAGTTCATCTCCTTGATCATAGTGACTGATTCAGTTCAGGAATGGTCGTGTGATTCAAGTTGATCCAGTGATACTCAACCCTAGGAGTTTTACTGAACTGTGGAAGAAGAAAAGCTCAGACCAGCAGTGTCCACCATATGAAATGAGCCAGTCGGAGAATGAAGCCAGTGCAGAGGAAAGCGGAGCCAAATGATGGAGAGACTTGAGTCCTGATGACAATGTTTGTGCTCCTAAATCCACCTGTGCCTGAAGCTAATATATCCTCTGGATTTTTCAGTTTTGTGAACCAATAAATATCCTTTTGTTTAAGTTACTTTCAGTTTGGTTTCTATTGCTTGAGATTGAGTCCTACTCTACTATCCACCAATATCAAAACTTGACAGCCCAGCCGGGCGTGGCTCAGTGATTGAGCGTCGACCTAGGATCCGGGCAATCGGGGTTTGATTCCTGGTCAGGGCACATGCCCAGGATGCGGGCTCAATCCCCAGTTGGGCAGTGCAGGAGGCAGCCAATCAATGACTCTCCCTCATCTTTGATGTTTCTATCTCTCTCCTTCTCCCTTCCTCTCTCTGAAATCAATAAAGTTTTTTGGTTTTTTTTTTTAAACTTGACAGATTCAAGTATTTATTAAACTATAGGTCATGGCCACAGTGAAGTTACTTTCCAAACTGGAAGTCAGTGGAAAAGGAACTGACAGTGATTAAGACAAGCATAAAAATTAATTACATGATAGAAAAATATAGAAGAAAACCTAAATGTTATCAGTAAGGGAGTAAATAATATGATTTAACCATATTAAGAAAATTTGCCTGTGTTAAAATGAGGAAGATACAATTACTACGTATGGACATGGGAAAATGGCCATGTTATGTTAAGTGAAACAAACTATTAGTAGAAAAATGTGTAGTATAAATTCATTTTAAAATTTGTGTTTGTTTATAATACATAGGAAAGTCTACTAATGGTTTTCTTTGAACAGTGTCGATTACATGAGACTTTGAACTTGATACGTTTCTGTATTTGAATATATTTCACTACTCATATTACTTGTAAACTTTATTTAAAAGTAAAGACTTTTTAAAGTTAAGTTTAGTGCTTACTATTTGACTTAGGCAAGTTAACACTGAGCCTGTTTCATCAAATAATTTTGAATACCCGCTTTTATATTACTGAATATTTCTATAAACATATTCATCCATTCTTACTCAGCCTGACAGATTTGCTGCACCTTTATTTGTTTAAGAAACTCTGAGCTTAGTAATTGTTCCTTAATTTTTCAAGCACATCTTTTTAAATGTCCAAATATATTCAGAATATCAGAACTTCATAGTTTCAGTCATCAAAAGATTGTTTTTAGGTCTCAACTGATGTTAATCTATTAAGACCTCTGTTGCAGTTTTCACCCTAAGCAGAGAGAAGGGAAAAGTCCCATTTTCTTTGAAATCTGAATATTCTGATCTCATTGCATTCAAGGTTAATAATAACCTTTTTATTGATAAGTCTGTTGCTTATACATTGTATCTGAACTTTGAGTATCATAGAGTAGTCTTTGATACACAGATCTGATTGTGTCACTCACCTGCTTAAGATTTTTTAGTGGTTCCCCCATCATTTCAGAATATAACCTAAACTTCTATTCTGAAACTTTATCCTTGTTTATAAGGCTCTTTGTCATCTTACTCCTCAAGCCCCATCTTTCACCGCTTGAAACATAACTCGGTTTTGTATATTGGAGTTTTCTGTAATTGATTTGAAAAAAGAATTTCACGTTTTGAAAAAGAAGTTTACACTTTAAAAAACAGAAACCCAGGCCCTGGCCAGGTAACTTGGTTAGAGTATCATCCAGATACGCTAAGGTTTCGGGTTCGATCCCCAGTCAGTGCACATACAAGAATCAACCAGTGAGCCCGGCCGAGCGTGGCTCAGCAGTTGAGCGTTGATCTGGGATCCAGGCGATCAGGGTTCGATTCCCGGTCAGGGCACATGCCCAGGTTGCGGGCTCGATCAATGACTCTCTCATCATTGATGTTTCTATCTCTCTCTCCCTCTCCTTTCCTCTCTCTGAGATCAATAAAGATATATTTAAAAAAAAAAAAAAAAGAACCAGTGAACCCAGCTAGTGTGGTCCAGCAGTTGAGCATGGACCTATAATCTAGGAAATCTCAGTTTGATTCCAGTCAGGGCACATGCCCGGGTTGCAGGCTTGATCCCCAGCAGGGGGCATGCAGGAGGCAGCCAATCAATGATTCGGTCATCACTGATGTTTCTATCTCTCTCCCTCTCCCTTCCTCTCTCTGAAATCAATAAAAATATATGTATTTTTAAAATCAACCAATGAATACATAAATAAATGGGAAAACAAATCTCCCTTCTCTCTCTTCTCTCCCTCCTTTCCTCCCTCCCTCTAAAATCAGTTTTAAAAAGTTGCAACCCATTGATGTCAGAACTACAGTTATTACTATGAATACAGTAATTTATTTTCTTCCAAATTTCTCTTTTCATGAAGTTTCTAAATTTAATATGTGTAACAACTGTACAAATGGAGCAACCAAATCTCTTATCTCACAACATACACAAATACCAGAAGAACAAATTTAAATGTTAAAATGAAATATTGGAAGAATTTCTAGGAGACTATTTTTACAATCATGATGGGAGATTATAAGCAAAACAGGAAACCTACACACCCTAAAGGAAATTATGGACATATTTGACTATATAAACAGAAAATTTGGGAAAACAAAAATCTTGGTTCCATAAAAGACACGTGATAGACTGGGGAAATTATTTCTAATTTAAGTGACAGATTGAGGATCACTGTCCCTAATATACAAATTGATCACTACAAAACAAGCACCCTAATAGAGAACACCCAGTAGGTAACTCAGAAGAAATCTAAAAGAGCAACAGTATTAGCCACTAATAATGTACTTGGTTTGCTACATGCTTGGCATTGTTTCAGGCACTTTTTAAGTATTACTTAATCCTCACAACTTACCCTATGACAAAAGTGATATCCCTGTTTTACAGCTAAGGAAACAGGCTCAGAGATATAAAGTAACTTGCCCAAGTCATGTAATAAGTGGTCACACACTGAGCTATGACTGAAACTCAACTGGTCTGACTCCAGAGTCTACTTTGAACCATTATGATGTTCTGCATTTCAGTAAGCATGTGAAAGGATCAAGTGTACACATGGTCAGTAAGATGTAAATCAAAGCAACAAAATACCATTCATTAGTCACGTATCAGGTGGCAAAATTTCAAAAAGCAGTGACCTCCAGTGTGACAAGAATTAGGGTAAACGAAAACTTTTGTACATTGTTGGTGGTAATGTGGGTTGTTCCGATCTTTTTAGAAGGTAATCTGGCCATATCAATTAAAAATTGTAAATGTACCTTTTAACCCAGCAATCTACATCAAAGACTCTCTAAAAGAACTAAAAGCACTGAAATACCATCAGTATAAGAAGTTTGCTGCAGCAAGGCTGTGGTAGCAGAAAAGTGGAAATGACAGTCTATCAGAAGGAAATAGCCGAATGAGTTATAGAACAGCTATACTCGAGTACGATACAACTGTTAAAAAGAACGAGTCTGATCTCTAGCTCTTAACCTGTGGCATGTCCATGATGTATCTAAGCAAGAACAAAAAGTTAAGTAAGTAGTGTACATCATGAGAACCCACTTTTGTGAAAACAAAACCTACAAATGTGTCAAAATGAATGATCATGGAAGATGGACACACAGCAGGCTATTACGACTTAAATTGAGTTTGGAGAAACTTAGTACTTTTTATATATTGGCATTGTTTCACTACTTGTGTGAAACATATGCCCTTTTTTAAGAGAAAGTTTACTCATAAAAAGTTTTTAAGAGGTAAATTAAGTTACAACTGGACATTTTTTAATTAGAATATGCTAATAGAAGAGTGATCAAAAAAGAGGGCAACAAAGGCAATTACATCTTACATATTTAGGGTTGCGTTTTGAAGATGGTTGATTTCCAAGTGACCTGTGTGTGAATGGTGATGGAGCAACAGTGAGAAGGAGCCTAGGTTCATAATGAATGTTGAACCACCATACAGGCCTGAAGGGTTTACCTCTGGATTCAGTTTACAAGATAAACATCTATCCTCTTTACATAGTTGGTATATGAAGTTTTTTCTCCCTCATAACTGAACCTAATTTGCCCAGTTTGGTGGAAATATTTCTGAGGAACATCTAATTTCATTTGTTCTGATTTTATGCTACTGAAGCAACCTGCCCCTAGCTGGACTCGCTGACAGCAGGGCGATGCCCTAGGTGGATGAACCAGGCAGGTATCTCCCATTATAAATTAGTAAACTGGCCCCTTGCATTATTAGCTAGGGGCCCCTCATTTATTCTCCTAGAACCCCTACTGCTATAGACATCTGTTGCTTTTGTCCTTCTAGTATCCATCTCCACTTCTTTTGATAACTGCACATCAATTGCCCTCTGGGTTTCCAGCCCTCCTCCACTTTTTGTCCATATGCTGGGTGAGCGCATAACCCAGACTGACCTGCCAGAGCCCTGCAGCCCCTTGATCAGGGGAGTTGGATAAGGAATGAGTGAGTATATGACCTAAGCCAAACCAATCTTATACAAACAACTAATTCTAGAAGGTTGGAGGGCAGGGAGTTTTAAACAATTGAGAAAGGCATTTTCTTTTGTTTTTAATCCACTGATTTTATAACCTGTAAAGTTGTAAGCCTGGCACAGCTAGCAACCATCTGGCCACCACAAGGTTGTCTATCTGAACATGGAGCCTACACAAGGACTAAAAACGAACCCTTAAAACGTTGTTCCCTGGATCCAGCCATGCCTGAAGCTAAACTAACCCTGGACATTTTTTGCAAGCCAATAAATCTGATTTTTGCTTATTCGAGTTGTTTTCTCTTTTCATGAAATGGATAGAGTCCTGACTAAATCACTTTGTTTCAACTTATTACCAGCACCTGACATATAGTGAAATATGACATATAGTGAAATATGACATATTTCGTAAGAGGCAGAAACTTAGGACCTGTTAACTCCAGTAGACTGAGCCACAGAAATTTCTGCATCGGCAAAGTTGAGGACGCTGGCAAGCACTTACTCTCTTTGAGCTTGTTTCTTAATTCATAAAAAGAGGAATGGCAACAGTTCCTACCTCAAAGAGTGTGAGGGTCAAGAAAGATGATGAACACACAGTTCTGAGAACCATGCCTGGCACTTAGTAAGCCCTCAGTAAATGGCAGTTGTTAGTAATAATGTTATTAAGGTGACAGTAACCCAGAAGCCTCTCAGCTCAGCCA